CGTATCTCTGAATTAATTGCTTTTTAAAAATATCAAAATTCTCAGGGCACACTTAATTTTTGTTTCGGCTTCCCACATGGCCATGCCCCCAAGCTGGGACTCCCAAGGAATTGGAGGTGTTTCTGTGTGACTCTATCGCCGTCTCATAGCCACGCTCCGTGCGGGGCAGACACACCGAGACGGGTGTGACGTTTTCCTCGGTGAGGAGGAGCACCCCGAAACCTATTCCTCTACCTTTGATGGCTCAGACTTTGTTTCATGGCTACAGATTCAGAGGAATTACTGCTTTCGTTTGAGATGGGTGCCTGTTAGGCTGGTGCCTGAGCCAGGGGCACTTCTGTTAAAATTCGGCTTCCCCTGGCGTCCAGTGATGCGGTGCAGACAGCACAGCTCTTCATACCGGGAGAGCCGACCTTGGCGGAACAGAATCGCGGTACTGAGGTGGGAAGGTCTCCTCCCTCTCCGGGGGTCAGCCTTTTTACCCTCTGCCCTAGAGATGCTGGGCACAGGTGGTTGCAGGTTGGGTGCCACCTCTGGCCACGCGGGGGCGCTCTTGCACCATCCCTGCTGTGTTGTGGGGTGTGTTTTTTTTTTTTTTTAAGTTTTTAATTTTTTTATTTCTCGCGGTCTGACTTGGGAGGAATTCCCCGTATTGTATTTGCATTTCTGTATTGTGCCTCCCTCGGCCCTTGGCCCCGAGCACTCCCCCAGCTGTTCTTTGGGAATTGCTTCCTCTTTGCTTGCGACACCAGAGAGAGAGGGACCTCCACATGCCCAAGTCTGAGTCCAGGATAAAGGGTGAGCTGTCACCATTTCTGAATAATAGTGAGTCACTGCAGCCTGAGCCTAGGACTTACCGTCCTTAGAGGGTTGCCTTGCCCCCAGATGCACCCTTTTATCTATGGGGGATGTGCCCATGGGGGTAGGGATGGGGCAGAAAATGCCAAAGATTTCCTTTCCAGAATCAAGTGCTGTCTTAACAGTCCCCTGGGAGACACTGTCAGCATTCGCTCTCACCACCCCCTTCCCCCCTCCCC